AATTCGTCAACAGCCGCTACCTCCAAAATACCGTATAATAGCAGCAACCATAACCGGAATCGAAATTCTAGTTTCTCTTCAAATTTGTTGTATTAAAACAATTCCATGTATCTCTAATGCGCTACTATAATGTTGTTATATTGCAGAGAATCACCAATGTCTCATTAACTAAGATCCTAAGTACTCTATTACACAATATTTATAAGGTTTAACTAACAATAACGATTAATTATAACGAAGCATTGTAAATTCAGTTTTAAGCAATATTTCTCGTCATGCAGAGCTAAATCACAAATATGAACTAAAATATTGGTAGACTATCAAACGAAGAAAAATCAATGCTAAATTTTTCTCAACATGGAAGACTTGCCAACAAATATTTCAACATACATTCACACCCGCGCCGCTTGTTTTTACCATACCATTCAGAATGAATTCACTTCGATGAAATGTTTTTCCTCTCTTACATAGCATTTCATCATAAAATCCATTACGCATAATTTATGCAAAATCCAAAATCAAAACAAATTATCCTACGATCAAATATGCAAATTACATAAGTTGATATGTATTTAAGCTAATATAATAAGAGACACTGAAAGCAACCATTAACTCATAAGTATTTCGTCCAAAGTAATTCGAAAAGCAAAAGATGAGAGGAAATGATAGCATGATCTACTATCAGTAAGTTAAGAAAGTGATTATTCACTTCTACGGAATATCTTCTAAGAATAGAGATATTCCCGCTAACCATGATGAATGCAATGGGAATGTATGAAGATAGCTCGAGCAAAAACATATTATGAAGGGACCAGTAATTTCACAGTAGCCTTTGCAGATGACATGAACTCATTATCATCTATCGAGTCCTCTAGCGACCAGCAATTTATGAGTTCCCTGAATAAGACCGTTCTTAAGAAAAGTCTGAGGGCATGGGAAGAAGATCGGGTAGGTGCTTGTTGAATGGAAGAGGAGAGGAGAAGGGAGGGCAGGGCAGGGAAGGAAAGGGTAAGGCAGTAGAACTGAAAATGTCGGGTAAAATATTGTGAGAGAGATGAGGTGGGAATAAAGCACTAATTGAGAGAGCGTTGATGAGCGATAAGAATTGCAAAATCTTATGCTTAGAAAGAGTTTAGTTCACAATTCAATAATAACAAGTGACAGTTGTAATAAGCATAACAGTATCTGAGCAGTATTTCTCGTTCGACTTTGATGATTTTCCTCTTATATGTTGATAACACGGAAAAGCTACCATTTGAAATTCAATTAAACTGTAACCAAAAATATGATTGATGCTAGAAACATGATAAACTGACATTTAGTGATGAAGAAAAACTAAATGAATTAATTAATTAGCCTTATAGAGATAACTGATGAATAATGAAAATATGTTCCAATTTCCCCTTATTCGATTTTGGATTTAAGATTTTTCCTTTAAAAATCTACTACTACTCATATAATCTACCATAATATTAAAATAACGAAATTTATACTTCCTTCTCTATATGTAACTACGTATTATCGCATTTGCAGATAGACATGGATGCATTCTTTCGAGTTACTATAGACAATCATTCTGCTGTGTCAGTCATATATGAACTAGAACCTAACATATATCACAATCTCATCATATCTGAGTACTTTTCTCTTAGTTTCCTCTAGTTTTCAATATCTAAATTAAGTTTTATTCTAAAATTTTGAAATTTGGGAAGTTTGAAAAGAAAAATTTGAGACAACGAAATCGCTACTTGCAATTAGGAAGATGCCGAAGTGGAATGGCCGAAACCGCACTTATGTGCGTGTGTGTGTGTGTGTGTGTATGATCTGTGTGTGTGTGATTTGTGTGTGAGTGACGTAATGCCGTTGTACCACGTGGGATGACGAAATGGAAAGAGAGAGGAAGTGCTCTGATGTTGTAATCTCTTTCCTTTCGAACCTGGGTGTCCTTTTTTCTTCTCGGGCAAATTATTCTTATCTCTTTGGTATAAACTCGTCATTTAATTTCTAATCCAAATGCAATGAAATTGATGTGTTGACATATAGTTGTGATAAAATATATTCTTGTATATATCTTTTGGTTTTGATTTTCATTTGTCATTTCCTCACGATTTGCTTTCAAATGTTATTTCGCTGCATTTTGAAACAAAGATTTTAGCTTTAACTGCAGTAGAAGATCATTTCAGCTTTTGTTTTCAGTGGTATGAGTGCTAAGGTAGTTCATCTGGTAGAATGTCCATTATTAAAAGTAATGGTTGACAGATTTCATAGTACCTTTCTTCTCCGAACGTTTTTGTGGTATCCATCTGGGTAGCAACTGGTGACTTTTTTTTGCAGTGTTCCGTTCATATGCAATGCACATAATTCACCTTTTTGTCTATTAAATTTAAACTGTTTCTAATTCATCTTTTTGTGATATTTTTTGCCGTGGTGTAATGTCAGTAAAGGTGAAATAAATGTTAATTTTGGTAGTGATAACACTGAAAGGGAAATAAAGTTAATGGCCGAATTTGGTTACTGGTAATATTCTCAAAGGATTTAGGTTCAAGATGCGAGGTCAGTCTTATCCCGTGCAGAACTGGCAATTAATATCACAAAGTTTTGATTACAGTAATAGCTTTTAAGTAGTGATTTTGAGTGACCATAGTTCTTTATCTTTTCTGGCTTTTTTTAACATTGGCAATTAAAACGAAATGAAAATAGTCAATCTTTTTAGTATTTTTTTTGCTGGTTGCTAGATGCTTTTGCTTATTTTCTACCAGACTTTAATTGATTATCGGAGTGTGAGATTCCAAAAACTCCACATGTAACTCTAAGAGATTATTGGTGTTCAGCATTTCTTGGCCTTTCTAAATAAAAGAAACTCGACTCTTTCTAATTTCTTATACTATCGCATAAATATTCGATAGCTTTCACATTTAAATGTAAAAAGTAGTTATTATTTCGTTACTTTAATACTGCGTCGATCTATATCGTAAATAGAGTGGTGCAGGGCAAAAGTTTCATCAAGTTTAATATATTCAAGAAATATTGAATAATCACTGCAACAGCCATTCTCCTGCAAAATTTCAATCCATATTATGCCAAGGACTGAACAAATGAATACATATTTACACAGATTCTCTAACAAAGAGAAAAAAATTCAGCAGACTTTAATTCAACCTGAATTTGGAAAAAGGATCTTTAATTGAAAGTAATAAAAGTTGAAAATAGAAATACTGACCTACTTCGTAAAAAAAGTGGTTAGAATGTCACGATGATAAATCAGAGGGTAAATGGGTGAAAGAGTGGTAACATTTTGCTAACTATTCGATTATAAGATAGTAAGAATTGGTTAACCTCTTTGATACAAAGTGAGTATATTGTATACCGTATACTAAACTCATATTGGTGGACAAATAGCTATTATTCATGTTATTTCATGCATCCGTGTGGTGCGTGCGTCTTCGACAAATTACCATAATATCATAAGAATCACGGGTAGGTAACAACAAAGTACCACCCAGTTTAATAATTCCACTTCTTCTGTTCATATTCGCTTGACTATTTTTAAGTCCATTTTTGACAAGCCACTTAATCATCACTATAACTCTAAACTTTTTAGTTTAGTAATAACATCCAGCTTTCAATGTTTCAGTTTAATAAAAGGAACTTAGAAAGAAATTGAATCACATCAGTTCGAGTTATAGAAAAAATTGAATTGAATCACATCAGTTCGAGTTATTCAATTCTTCAACCTTTAAGTTTGCTTTATTCATAGGCAAGCATATCACAAACTTATTAGACTGAGGTCTTATGCCCCATGTTATCATTTTTCAAATAATGCTTGAATGCTACTAATGTTCATCAAATTTGAGCAATCAAAAATAAAGACGTCTAGCGAGAAGAATAAGTATTGTATCTTCCTAGTTGATGCACGAAGTGCTAAAGCATTTCACTGATATTAAATATTGCTATTTCACTTATATTATTTATGGCAATTTAATTTAAAATCCATTTCAAATACAACTTTATTAAAAGTATCTAATGATTACTTATGCAATTTATACACATACATATGTACACTTTTCAATGAACCATTGTGCAATTAAGGTATGAGGTATGATTTGTAATGTATAAACTAAAGGACAGAACAGAACGATAAGCATTTCGTAGTGGACTAATTCTCAGTCATTGAAAAGTACTTCAATCGAATAATTTTGAAATTTTGTCTAATGCTGTATTTCTGCTTTGACATTCGGATGGGACTTGCATTACGGAAAATATTAATTTACTGGTATGAAAATCTGGCAATAGGAGTAGCCAGATTATTTCATAGATACAGTGGCTTTAGTTGTCCAGATTGCAAAAAATAAATTGAAAAAATTTCAACAGTTTCATGAACACTATTTTGTTTAATCAATTTTATAATTTTTAACCATTGAATTTACATCTTAACTAGAGATGAATTTTGTGTCCGAAAGTTTGTGTCTAAAAAGTTACTTTAGTGAAATAAATCATTGAAGAGAAAAAAGTTTAGTTTGAAAACTAGCATTGAAGACTAGGAATTGAAATACTTTCTCTACTAGTCATCTTGCAAACATTAAGACTTAAAATTATTTAACAATATGAGTTGCCTCCTGCTCTCAATCAAAAAAGCTATCCAAGATATAATGGTTGACAAAGTGACAAAAAGTTACTAAATAAAATAATATATATGATAATAACCTGTAAATGATACCATAAGATCATTAACTGAGAATTCATAATAACTCATATATCTCAATAAATAAATTATCAATGATTAATTTACGAATCGTAGCACAAATGATTCTTCAATTACTATAACTAGGAATAAAATAAATTCAGTATACGGAACTTATTTTATCCTAACTTATCCATCCATAAATTCAAAAATTCCCACATTATCTTGAAAAGAGTCCGAAGCACTATTTCAGTGCAGCATGAGGAAAAGCAATAGCTCCAGTAATTGTCAGTATATTCCCAAAATTTACATCAATAATTTACATAATTAGCTGCACATCCAAATTATCTGTCAACTGCATGTATTCATCGGTCCGTGTTCGTTTTTGTATACTTTCATAGCTGTCCTCATCATCAAAATGTCCTTGTAAAAGTTTTGCTATTGTTGGCATTTTACAATTATATGCTCTCAAAGAAGTATCAAATGGCAGTGTAGGTGATAACTGATCGCTAATACATTCAACATTTTCTGGTAATTTTATCATTGTTGAAGAATGAATTGATTGCATTTTGCTATGTTCCATTTCCTCGAAAAACTTATCCAAATCACCGCTAAGATCAGGTAATGGTCCTTTGATATTTCGCTCCAAGCATAGTTCCGGTAAAGCTTCCAGTTCACTGCTTTCATCATCATTCCCTGAAAAATTATAAACACTACTGCCATATTGCCAGAATGCACTCAAACATCGGACATTTTTTTTTTTGAATCACACTTTCAGCTTTTCTGATACCAATTCAATCTGATAAATCTAATTCATAAATTTTTTTAAAAATATCATAAGACTGTCAAAATGCATGGGCAAAAATTTGAGGGTCATTTTCTTAAGTGTTTCTCATATTTTAGGTTAGCAATACCAAAGATCAGAAAAAACGGTGCAAATTTCATGGCTTCTAAAAATTAAGCATAAGAATAACAAACCAAAATCTAAATCAGTAATCTTTGATTCATTCGTATTTAAATCTTTGAAATTTCCACTCTGAAATGATAGTATCATAGGAATTTGTTGGCTTGTTTCTTTTTCTAGACAGAATCGATGAATCCAAACAAAACTATTTGACAGATTATGGGATGATGACACATTAAGTGTAAAATTTTGTCTTGTACAATTGGTTAATGCCTAAATTCTTAAAGTAAATAAAGTTTTTTTTTTCAAGTGATTTTATAGTTTGCCAGCATTTTTAATTGCAGGAAATTTTTTTGATAAACTTTTAGATTATTTTCAATCGTTTAATCAATAGAAGTGAAAACGAGAAGAAATAACTAACAAAGTGATTAAATTCTCTGCTATCACCAGATAATGACTCCTTTTTAATGGCCAATAATGAGGAAAGTATCGGTGAAGCATATTGCTTCGACATTTGCTCTTCTACGACATCGCTATCTTCATGGCTATCCATAACATGATCAAAAGATGCTACCATTAATTCATTTCGAATTCCGTAAATCCACAAATTGCCTTGCAATGAGAGCGCTTCCACTTCACTAAAAAAACGTTTAACATTCTAATCGAAAAAATCGAATTGAATTAATTCACTGAAACTAAGTAATCTCTAAAATTCGAAGTTAAATCAGTAATACATAACTGATCACAATGTACTATTATAATATCATTAACATTAAAATAGTACATTAAAATTATCATTAAAATGAAGGGCTATAAAAATTAAATTTTATATACATAACTGCAACTGCTCAGATATAACTTTTGTTGCACAATGTAAAGAAAGTCAATTTATGGCACAGTTTCACAAAAGTAAATAACACGTCAGGATTATTCGGCATTACTTATCTTCTATGACAACAAGTACAATTTCCTTACTTTAAAACCTGATATGTGATATAAATCAAATGTCGCATTCGTTTTCCATGTGCTGTTTCATACCATAAATTATTTTTTACAGTAAACACAGTATGTAACCAAAGCCATGAACAATTCTTCATTTGTAAGCGCAGTAAGCACATTACCGCACCATCTTTACGTTGACTTACTCAAATATATAGATTTTTAATTTGTAACATTGTTATACTTAAAAGTCAAATTTAGTTTTCAAATTTTTAAAAATAAAAGTCTTGAAAGTTTTAGTATGAAAAAACGTAAGAATTGAAATTATGCTTACAGATGCGATGTTTATAAGCAACTTCAAATAAATGATCGGGATGCAAAAACTGATACCACGATTTATCAATTACTTCTTCATTTTTGTAACCCAAATAATGTGCAGTCCTAAACTATCGTATTATTAATTATCATATTTAAAATCTCGAAATCTAATAAACTTTTGTAAGGAACGTTCTAGTTAAATTAGCTTGATATTTCCACTCAGTGAATAGTTGCGCCTAAGAACTCTTAGAAGGAAATGATTTTGAGTAAACCAGAAAATTTTGATGCTTATAGGTCAATAAAGCGAAATTTTTGAAGTCAAAATGTTGACAAATTTGGAACATACATATGGTCAACATGCACAAATTTTAAATCCATTGAATGTATAGTGCAGAAGATTGACGTATTTCCGGCAGATAGTGTCTCGACGTTTTCCGGATTGATAAGCATTTCACAGTATGCGGCAAACAATGGCTGAATATGGGATAAGGGTGCTGATAATGACTGATGTGTGGTGTAATAGTCACTGGTATGCAGATAACGACCTTCCATCAGTGTGTACTATAAGAGTAATTCAACTTCTGTTGTTGCTAATTTTCTTGAATTTAAATTTGAACTCAAGTTTGTGCTTAAACAGAAAACTGAATTTAACTGTTTTAGTTTATTTTGAAGTATAGGTTGGTTCCAAATTAAAGCAAAAATTAAGTATTATATATTTATTTATATATTTAGAATTTAATACTTTTTCTATTAATGAAATTTTTATTAACAAAAAATTAAATATCAATGAAGTTTATATTCGAATATTAAAATCTAATATTTTTTTTTGTCAGCGTACAACTAGTAAATTTAAGATACCTTGTGGTATTGAAGTTGTCTTTTTGTTGTACGCGACAAATTCATGCGACAAATGAAAACTTTCTCACTGGGAAAAAAATTTTGATCAGAAACTGATGGTGGACCAGACATAAGTTCCGCTTGTATACGTCCATGATCACGATGATCGATAAGATCATACACCGAATCACCTTGGCACATTATTTCTGCCTTAAATTTAAACATAGACCAAATGATCTCTTTCAATGTTTTCAATGGATTTCAATGGATTGCTTTCATCTCATTTATCATTAATTGGAATTCATCCTTATCAAATTTGAATTGCGCCAATATAATCAAAGAAAAATAAAATTTAAGTAAAATTACCACGGAATGACCGAGATAGTCGCTTGCATTATCAGATATGTAAACAATTTTTCCACATTTCGTCATCATCAATAAGAAGCCTCGTAAAGCTCGAAAACTTTCCGATTGTTTTAAAGCTGACCTGAACGATGTTTGTATACCCATTCCAATCACTGAAATAAGAAATCGAAGCTGGATAAAATACAATGATAATTTAATTTTATATTTCAAATTAGCCTAAAGAAAATAACATTCATATGAGGTGAAAAAGAGCAAATTTAAATTAAATTCCAGCAACTGTTCGTTTTTTTTTTTTTTAATCCTTAATTCTTTTCAAATATTCAGAGAGATGAAAAGAGGAATCTTACGGGTCATTGGCATAAGCAATTTAATACTGTAAGGAAGTGCAAACCATGTGGCAGATAATTTTGTTTCCTGATATAAATGCAGGCAAGTGACATTACTTGCAGTTGAAAGAGTCGTTTTCTCATCGAATCTGTTAATGGCAGAAGATCACGCAATTTCTGAATTTCCAAATTGATTTGATCCCGGCGATATTTAGATGCACCACGTGTTGACCTGAATGATAGTTGTTACTTTCATTCTAGAAAACATAATTTTTTGTAAAATCATACTTTGAAATTTTAGGCCACAATAGTGAAATAAATTATATTAGATATTTTATATTTTCTGATACATAACTACAATTAGACCACTCATGCAATTAGGAAATAAGTTTTCGATTCAGTGCTGGTCTAAAGTTATCTTGGACTAATTTAAGACAATTAAATTGTAGTATGGAACGAATTTCAGAGAAGCATTAATTTTATTTTCTATTCGGCAGCTCTTTGTCCATGCAGCATGTGTGTCGAGTTAATTTGTTACTTAATAATTTGTTTACTGTTTATTTTGGTCATATATCACATCATCTGCTATCTAATCCATATTTATTGAATTATACTTTATGCATCGTACAGAACTTTTATGAGCATTTGATGCTGTTCGCTCACTATTTTTTCTTTTTTTTAAATTAAATTTTGTAATTTGGTTATACCGTGAAAAGATCATCAGCAAATTATATATGCGCTTATGTCACAAATATGGAGCATCTATTAAAGGTGATGTTTGCTTTGTTGTAAGTAGGAGGTGCAAATGTTAAAATGTGATCAGTTTTCGGTATGACAAAATTATTTCGAACTATAGTATGAAAAAGTAAACAAAATTACCTGATGATATATTACTTGTCATTTACTCTTCCAATCAAATAAACAAATATTACTGAATGGGAAATGTACGCGGAAATACTTCAGCACCAACAAAACTTGTTATTAATGAGTTAATTGAGTGTGAAACTTATGAACTGTTGGTAAATAACTCGTTGTCATCATTCGATCCTAATGATACTTATCATTTGGGATGAAGTAAGATAATTCAAAACCTCGTAATAGTAATAGTGATAATTTAAAATAATTTCATCAATTTCCATTGTAATAGTTAACTTCAAAAACTTCAAACCTTTGTTTTGATTATATAAAAGAAGAATAAATGAATAAATGATTGTTCAAGAAGTGAACACAAAAAGAAAGAAATTCTCATTGAATGATTTAATAGTAAGAACGTAGAAAGAAAGAAGTCAAAAAGGAGAGAATCAGTTAAAGTTGAAAGTTATAATGAAATTTTTCTTGAACAAACGGACATAACTGATAGCTATAAATTACGTTCAGTGACGAATAAAGTTAAAACAGCCGGAGATTTGTTTCATTTTTATTTTTACAGTAATGAATTTGTCTGGACTAAAATAGTGTAATGAAGTTTTGATTGATTTATAATTTAAAACTACTATCCTGCGACTTATTGGTAACTGAAAATTTTTTATAAAGTTAATGATAGTATTGCATTGTATAGTCACAGTAATTCACTGTCATCAGTCTATTCTGGTATAATATCTATTTACTGATCTGATATTTCAGTTTGAACTCTCAAATGTAAGATCACTGATAGCTGAGCGTTTCTTTAGGATTTTGTGCTTTGTAATGCTATCCTTACATATTCTTTTTATAAATTTACAACAGCGATCGCAAATGTATTAATTCAGTGATAGTAGCATGCTAATCTTTCATTTTGCTTTTTTTTTCGGATCATATTTTTGCTTTCCAAATTATGCATAGAAAGACTATGAGAATTTTGAATGTTAATTGCTGAAGTCATAAACTTATTGTGTTTAACAATTTCATAAAAACTTCATTCCAATTAAAATTATCAACTTTCATGAAAAAAAAGACATTGGGCTAACCTGTTATTGTTTGATGATTGCCGCTGTATTTGGTTCATGTGAAGAAATTATATTACGATAATGATACGTAATACGAAATGAACTTACAATTTGAATAAAAAACACAAAATACGAGCCGATTGTCAACTGCTCCTCAAGTTTCAATGTGGACGTTTTGTTACGGTGACCCGCCCGACCTGATCACCTCATCAAACTCTGATCTGTCAACTCAATTTGTTCACTACTTCCTTCTCTTCTCTTTTCAATCGAGATATGACGTCATAATGGTCAGTATAATAAACACGGGAGTTAGTTTATTGAGGAAGAGGAACTGTCCAATGGTCGTTACGACTTACGTGTCTGTCTATTAATCCCAATCATATCCTTCTTGTTGTGTAACTATATACAAACACTTTTCTATACAAACCATATCCTCTTTATATTTCTGTTTTCCAAAGTAAACTAAGACCACAGGAAATTTACCAATAAAACCGGTTACATATATATATATATATATTTATATACGAAATTTCGATAAGTAAACAAAAATTTGCAAAAGTACGGCGGACTTAACTAAACTAAACTAATTCTCGAAACTAACCAATCAACTACTTCTCATAGATTCTGGTATGTCCAATATTAGGGGAACGAACTTCGAAAAAAAAAAATCCGGAAATTTTCGGTTTTTTTTTTTGTAGCTGAATTTCCACGATTTATCATTTTGTACTTCATGAAAAAAACTCGAGAGCATAATTTATTGAAAAATATGCTGCAAAACATGTATTTAATCTTTCACAATAAATCTTCTAAATATAGATTTCCCGGGGAAAAATTCAACTTGAATATTTCGGGAGTTACTTGAAGAAAATCGCGACTCGACTACTTTAAAAAAAAGTGAAAATTTTCAAATTTTTTTCGCAATTCATTTTCCTAATGTTGTAGGATTTTTAGGAATTGTATGATGGTCAGTCTGTATTGTTGATTTTAGCTTTGATGACCAGTATAGGCACTAATCAATGACCATTAACGAAATCCACTTGAGGTTATGTAGTTTATCTGATACTAAGTAATTAGTCTAATTAGTTCTAAGTTTTATTGCTGCGCTTAGATCTCAATTTTCATAAATATTTCTGTAGTTGTATCATTCCGCTTTCTGTCACCTGAAATGACCGGATCTCTCTAATCTATGAATAATTTATTGAACTCTTCAATCCCAACCAGTTTATCTTGAGGTCGTCTACTTTACCGGTGTCCTTCACAATAAATCTCGATTTTCGGCAATTTAACATCGAACCCATTAGTTTGACAGAGGGACAGGTGTTAGTGTTAGGTATTGCTGCTATATGTTAGATGCCCCCGGTGGCGGGGAAGTTAAGGTATGTCAGGAAGATGTGGCATTTATTTCGGGTAGTTTTGTCTTTTGCAGTGAACAAGAGTGGAAATGAAAACAACAAAAAAGTGAACGACTGATTCCAATTTACTGTTTTGAAATGCAACAGTTGATGCACTTATGCGCTATACGATGGCTTCTTGATGGCTCAGTTCGATTCGTCAGACTGTCACCAAAATGTTATGTTAAACGGAAACGGAGAAAATTTATCGATCCTATTGTGGTCGGGAAAACACCTAGTAAGAAGAAGGTTGCCGAAATTTATGAAGATATGAAAGTGGGGTAAGTTATCGTATGAATACATACATATTATTCGTAAGCTAATAATGGCATTATTATATTGAAGTACTAAGAGAGAATTTTATTATGTATGTGACAGTAATAAGAGGTAAGCTTAGCCTTTGGAGAAGTTATTTATGATATACCATCGTTCAATAATTTAGGTTCAGTTATTCCTAATTCACAAGAATTTCACTTTATTCTTTTTTTTTTTTTCGAATCAGAAGATGTCAAATTAGATGCGTTTTCAGAGAACTGGCCAAAGTGTTGGGAAGTTCTGACGAAGAAATTTTCCAAGTGCTCAAAAATATAAATAATTCACCCAGAATCAACAACGAAAGTAACTTACATATGCTTTAATCACACTTCCAAAAAAAAAGTGTAATTCCTTCCAAAAATCTTACTTCAGTTTCCCTTGTTATAAGTATTTGTCTCGAATTGATGTTGTTCGAGTCATATTTCTTGTTTTCAGAGCTGGATATGTCTACTATCACTACCGTAGTTGGGGCTTTTGGTCTTAAACCAAAGCTGATACCACATCCTCGAAGTATCGTCAGTGAACATTTTGAATTGGATGCATTTCCACAGTCAGTTTTACCTTCATTTAAGAGAACTGCTCGATATTCTGTTCTTATAAATCAAATTTTCAGATGACCTGATGGAATTAATTGTAACATGTACTTATATTCTTAAGATCATTCCAGTTGTGCTTTTCTCATATTCTTCCACACTCCTTAACTCATTTTCTAGTGTTGAAGTGTAAACTTTACTGGTTTTTTCTTCTAGACCGCCACCTCCGGAAAATGAATTGAGAAGACGTGCGCCTATAATTACTATCATGGGACATGTTGATCATGGAAAAACAACGCTTCTTGACTGTCTAAGACATTCTCAAATTGTGGAAAGCGAATATGGTGGCATAACACAACATATCGGCGCTTTTACGCGTGTGAAAATTTGTTTTTTTTTTTTAAATCTTAATATCGTTGCCTATGCATGGTACTAATGCCAATAATCAAACTCATTCTATCCATCTTTGATTAGTTTTTTCTTATATATTAGTAATATACATGTCGCAAGAAATTCCATTTCTATGTATGATAACCTGCAAGTTTCGTATTTTCTTTACATTGCAGTAAAAGAGAAAGATTGTGAGATTACATTTCTGGACACACCTGGACATGCGGCATTCGCTAAGATGCGGGAACGTGGAGCACATTCAACTGATATAGTGGTTTTAGTAGTAGCTGCGGATGATGGAGTAAACGAGCAAACAGTACAGTCCATAAAGTAGGCTCTTTTGGTTTGAATTTTCTGACTTTCACAAAGCAAAAATTTTCAATATAGTTAAAGATACAGTTAATTTATGCAGTGAAGCTGCTTCTTATATACTTCATTTGCATTGCCATTCAAATGCTTTGAAATACTTTATCAATTAAAGATTTAAAACTAACCATAATAGTATAATGTTTTATTTAAATTTGTAGAATTTTATTTCTTTCAGTTATGCAAAGACAGCAAACGTACCTATTGTTGTTGCCATTAATAAAATTGACAAGGCTAATGCTAACCCTGTAAGTAATTTTAGAATTCATAGCATTTTTTTTCGATTGATCTGAAGACGAGATTATGTTCAGATTAAATTTCATTTATTCAAATTTCCAGATCAAAGCTAAACAGTCGCTTGTGGAACACGGAATTTTGGTTGATGACCTTGGTGGTGATGTTTTATGTGTTGAAATTTCAGCTCTAAAAGGTGAAAATGTGGATGAACTGAAGGTTATTGCTTTTCTTACACCACTTGTTTATTTCAGTGCTTGTTTCATTGATAACCATTGCAATATTAGAAGATTATCAAGAAGGAATTTCAATGATGAGAATCAAAAATTATTCAGGAAGCAATACTACTGCAAGCTGAAGACATGAATTTGCGTTCAACTTGGAGTGGATTAGTGGAAGGAATTGTGATTGAATCGAAAATCCAGAGTGGTATGTTTTTACTTACCCAGAAAGTATACTATTCGATTCTGATGATGGAACATGCTACTCTTATAGTTATTTGAAGTTAAACGATTTAGTGATGAATAGATTTAGGTTGATGATTGAGAATGATTGTGCATGTGGTCATTATTTAAAGTTCGGATAGCCTTTATAATATCTGACTAGAATAGCACTGGAAGTTATATTAAACTAAGTAGTTAATAATATTTAGTTAGAAATCAATTCAACATTTGAGAAGTATAATGACGGTATGAATTTTTACTTTATTTCTAATACATATTTAATTTTCATCGTGTCTTCATTTTTTCTTCTCTATAATTTAGGTATTGGCAAAGTTTGTACAATGATTGTTCAACGTGGTACTCTCGTGAAAGGCGCAGCACTCGTAGCTGGAACATGTTGGGCTAGGGTTTGTCATCAATTTTGTTGCACAGAAAGAAGTGCTATGCAGACTATTTGCTCTTCCTATCTCCTATTTTTTTTCCTATTTTGCCAAACTTACTTTCGTACCATGACTACCAAACCAATCGTGATATAATAATTCCCTAAACTGTTTACTATTTGGAATTAAAATTATTATAGGTTCGTTCAATGCATGATGAATTTGGTCACGACTTAGTGAAGGCTATCCCAAGTACCCCAGTAGTTGTCTCTGGCTGGCGAGAAAATTTGCCTACTCCAGGAGAACGAGTTCTGCAACTGGAAAATGAATCAAGGGCTCAGGAAGTCGTTCGTTATAGACTGAAAAAAGAAATGAATAAAAAAGCAGAAGAAGATTGGGTGAGTCATCCCATACAACTCGTCTAGCTATTTCTGATATAGTTGTGAACTAACAAAAATTCATCAGGACAGCTAATTAGTTATCCTGATTTGTTTCTTCTCGTATTCCTCTTGATTTCAAAATTCCATTTCAGAAAACAGCTGAACAGCGAAATGAGAAAGAAAGAAAGGAATATTTAGAAAATCGCCGTAAGTTATTAGATGCTGGTTTACGTGCTGGTTCCACATTGCGCTTGATCGTCCATAAAGTAGGTTAATCATTATGATTTATCGAAAGTCAAATTTATAATAATTTGATGACGAAAGTTCTCATACAGTTATCAAATCTTTAGAAAATGAAATATATAAAGGAGTTTGTTCAGGAGCAGAAATATCAAAAAGATGTTGGAAATCAAAAACCATACGTAAGGTTGATGCTAAACACTGATGTTGATGGAACTCTAGAAGCTATCCTAAATGTCTTTGACACCTACAAGTCGGAGGAAGTTGAGCTAGATCTTGTGAAATTTGATGTTGGACCTCCGAGTGAGAGTGATGTCAAGTTAGCAAAAGATCTTGGAAGTATATGTTTCACTGTATTCAGATTCATATCCAGTAAAATGACACTAAAAATTTTCATGTTAGCTAAATAAGTGAACTTACATTCGTAGAGGCAAACTGTGTTTAATGGTTCTCAATATTGACTGAAAAAAGTACTATTTCGTTTAAATAATTTTTTATTCATGAGTAAATTTGAAGTAAAACTGAAGGAAGGAGTATGAATGTCAAATTTGAATGTAAGCAACACGTTAAAGTAGTCAATGGACAATGGCTTTACGATGGGCATCTTGTGTAGCGTTGATTTTTGCCATAATAGGATATTGCGTTGCATTTAATGATTATACTGTCATAATAATCTTGGAAATTCATTGGGTTTTTTTGAATACACTTTATAAATATTAGATATTTGATATACTAATTGAATTTGCTTTGCAGTTCTGCTTTACTGTTTCAATGTTCAAGTGCCACTTGGAGTGAAGCGTACTGCTGAACAATTGGGTGTGGAAATCAGTTGCTTTAATGTTATTTATCGTTTGGTAGAAGATTTAAAAAGTCGTTTATCGAATTGTCTTCCGGAAGAAGTAACAATGGAACAAGTTGGCGAAGGACATGTGATAAAAAGTTTCTCGGTGATTGTTGAGCGAAAAAAGCAGTCGATTGGCGGAATTCTGGTAGACTGGGGTACTATCAACAAGTAAGTTTCTTTCGGATTTTATATTAAGCCATGAAATCGTAACTTTATTTTATTTTTCCCTTTAAAGCGTTCAAGAATACCTATGTTGATCTTGTGATTTGTTGGTTCAGATGTAATTATTTGGATCAAGTGTTCAAACTAGCAGTCAAAATCTCAAATTCATAGACTTGCAGATCGGATTTGCTGCGGGTGCTGAGAGACACGACTGTCATCTTTGAGGGTTCTATACGTTCGATGCGTGTTGGAACACAGGTAACTTTCCTTCGTTGTAGAATTGAATTGGAGTAACCAAACTGTTTGTGAACAGGACAAAATCGACGTCTTTCCATTAATTTACTGAATATCCACAATCTGATAGAATCATGTTTAAACAAAATATGATTTAGGCTACAGTTTTCTCTAAATCAAATGCATTTAAGGTAGTAAGTTCGGCAAGCAAAAACGAAGAGGTAGGCGTTGCTGTATCGAATGACAAGATCGTTTTCAAAGAGGACGACATTGTTGAAACATATCGAGAGAAGAAAGTGAAAAGGCAGATTAGTTGGGACCCTCCGGGTTTTTAGTTTTATTATGAAAACATGTGTCTATTTTTATTGAAGGAATATTAGTGATTGGTTTTGCGATGTGATGTTGATATGGGATCTTTTGTAAAAAATATAAATAAAGTATTGAGATCCTTGGATTTTTGTTCAAATGCTGTTCTGCTGGGCGAATGAACTGTAAATTTCTTTATTGGAAAGATCAGTTGTAATAGACTACAAAACATAAAACAAAAAATTTACACACTTCGAAAGAGAACTTTATGTTATTGGAAAGTATGAAATATAGAAAAAGTGCTTAAAATGATTTGATATACTAAACCCTGTCGAAAATGATTCCAGGGATCGTCAATTGAGAAACTAAGTTGCGATAGTAAAGTTCTGTGCTCTTAATTGTCCAGAAGATTCACGAAGCTTATCCATAACTCATGTAATAATTGCTTTCTTTTTACATTTTCCTTACTGCTTCTGTACGGATATATACATCTCTTTTACTAATATATCGCCTTGAAGACCAACTTGGATTCATAAAATACATGAAATTATGCACTGTAGAGAGAACTTAATTACAGATAGAGTATTAGTACACATGAAGGCCATATAGACACTGCAAAACAATGAGAAATAATCAGGCACTAGTATGGCCATGAATTAATGGCATATTCACCTGGAGAGTGATACTGAAAAATCTCCAATTTCTAACTTTAAACTCCTCAGGTCTTAATGTGTGAAACTGAGTAGACAGGTACGCTCCAGAAGTTTGCCATTACTGAATTCAAGGTAGGTAGTTAAGAACATTAAAAGATTAACCTAACAAGTAAATAAGTAAATAAAGTTTGGATATCAATTAAGATGAAAATCATATTGCGATCATAAAAGTAATCTCCTTCCCAACTGCCCAAACAAATACTGTCGGAACAAATCATTAACATGAAGACATGTAATTTCTGCATCGTTGAATATCGCACAACAACAATCAATTTGTTGAAAGTCGTATACACAATAAAAAATGAAAGTCATTTAAATTAAATTAGAAAATATAAATTTAAATCAAAAGCTTTACGAGCAGTAATAAGGCACGAAAAGCTGATCACTATGAAATCATAGGTTGCATCACAATTTCTCGGAAGATGTAAATAATATAAGCATTAAAAACAACATAGCATTCATAACAAAAAAGAAATTTAAACAAATTATAACTTAATGGGTTTCTCTCAAGCACTTCGAATTAACTAAAGAGAAAATCAAGTAACTCTAATTCACGACAAAGAAAATGGAATGATGAAGAGTATCGGCGCTTTGATTAAAGAATATTTTAGCAGTGAGATCTCTTGGCCCCTTTGCAAATTTGGTATTCTAAACAGCAGTAGTCAAATTTTGAAAAAAAAAAAAAAAATCCAGGAAATTATAAAAGCTCCAGAAACATTCGTCGTGATTACTGCTTTGCACCTGCTTATTAATTCTGTTTTGCCATGTTTTGTTGCAGCAGAGCAAGCAACTGTTGTCCATGCCGCTGGAAAAATTCCGCTGGATCTATGTTACTGGTAATGTTATGGAAATTAGCATTACCATCACTAGTGCTAGAAAGTTGCTGAACTGGGACACTGCAATAACAAGCCATAAGAATTAATGATAAAACAAATGAATGTATCGCAAATAATTCTGCAAGAAAAATAATAATATCCGTTTATTCGCAGCATCTAAAGAAGACATTAATTCAATGTCTGTTGGACCTCTCTATTACCACATTTTTTATTACTTATATCCATATCAAGTTATAGAAAAGAAAAAATGAAAGCAAAGAGATACCATTGCCGTTGACCAGGAAGACTATTTGGGCTTTCGCTGTGTCGTCCATCTGGATCATAACGGTCATCATTGCATTCCATCCGTTTAAGGCTTGTTCGCATTGCTTGATTCAATAAGCGTAGCATTGTCTCGCGATCATCCGCTGGTAATTCTTGCGAAGTTTCTAGCTATAAAATAAAGATTGAACTTTAGTGGAGCAAATTTTAAAAGAATTAAAACACATAATTCTTTAACCACTAAACAAAAATCAAAAGAATGAGGCAGTCCATAGTTTAAACTACGAATAAGTTAAACATAAAGATAATTTAACATATTCCAAATTGAAACGATAATAGAAGATTGCGACATTGTTAGCTTTTCAGATAAATACATTGAATCAATCTATTTTCAGTAATGTTAACTCCTAATTTTAGTTGGTCATCTAAATCAAAATTCGTCATCAATGACAAAAACATATACTTACTAGTTGACGTGCTTGCAAAACTTTATCCAAACCCGTATTGAACTGCTCTAAACATTCCGCTATATGTTTTGCCATTTCTGAAGTAAAAAACGTTCAAATAAGTGAGAATATAAAACAAAACAGATACACACAAAAAAAAAAAAAAAATATAATCATTAAAACTGTCCATTATTAGAATCACCTAGAATCACTAGGTGAGCTATGCCGAAACAGACAGTCCCCTTATTAGATAAATTTCAATTAAAATTAGACAAACAATAATAAAAGCAAACTTGAGCAAAACGAAAAAAACTAGGAAACATGTAAATTTATTCTTATTATAACTTATAATTAAATATTATAACTTATATATTATAACTTATAAGCTCTTATATTTGGTACCGGTTCCTGTACTTTCAAAAAATGACCTTGAACAAGTGAACTAGATTGTAATAAGAATTAAATTACCATCTACCAATTGCTGCTGCGTTCCTGAATATATCATAGATGGGTAATAATAGCACTGATTTTTATTAATAATATTGGTCATATTGCTGCTATTGTTGGCTGTAGAAGTGAAAAAAAAGGACATATTCCTAGTGTCACCTGAATGGTGTCCTCGATGATAATTCATCGATTTTAACGGTTTGTTAACTAATAAATAACATTGACGACTAATGTCACTAACAAAGCCAACATTTTCTGAAAACCGGTTCCTGTCGATTTTTGAGACAGAATTAGATTTTTTTTTGTTATTCAAGTGATGGTAATAATAACGTTGTAGAAATTGGCCAGCCAGTTTTCCATAATCATTATTATTAGACTCATTAGTTCTACCATTGTTCTTGACGACATCTACTTCATCGCTGTCAACATCATCAATGTAATTGTTACTATCATTTCTGTTATCAACAGGGCAACTATAGCGCACTGTCAAATCAGTACTGAAATCACTTTTATTACAGTTGATGCCATCATTAGCGGAACTTCTATACTGCCAAATGATCTGCTTGCTACTAACAGTCTTGTCATCACTATCAGTACAAATACCAATATCATTGCTGATATCAACACTACGACTATTATTGTTTTTGACACATGATTCCGTAACTGTGTTAGTAATATCTTTAACAGGTGATTCTACGGCAGTGTCAGCAATAACGGTCGTACTTCGATGTCTGCGAAGAAAATAATCAGATACAGATTCATAATGACGCTGCAGCAACTTCTCCCCACGTCCTTTTCTGCATGAGCCATATGAATCCCATGACGTATCCATTCTTGTAACATTACGTATCGATTCAAATGTTGTTCTTAATAGAGGTCGCGGTCGCACATCTATATCAAAATCTGGTATTGACAGATAAACTGGATCCATCCTCTGTATCTGATGGAAAACATTTAGTTTATTATTATTAAAATGGGATTTCGCAGATACTGATTTTGGTTCTACTGATAAATAATGATGTTGTTTATTGAGATCAGGTACAGAATGAGAATAATGATGCTTCTGCCATTGGCGTTGACTCTCTGAAGTATATCTTCGTCCCCTTCCCTCAAATTTTGCCAACTGTAGCCACGGGAAAATATTGCGGGTCGGTAAAGAAGAACAGATGTTGTAGCAATCGCTACTGCTATCAATTATTTCAGGTGGACTGTCCGTAAACGTAACACTACGTCGTTTCATGCTGAATGAAATACTAATACTTGGAAATACTCAAAAGTTACTCGTTATCCGTAATCGAGAATATAATATTATCAATAATAGTAGCAACAACAGTCACAGTAATAACAGCAGTAAGGAAGGAAGTAATGCAAGGTTATCAGTTACTGATGCTTCATTATGATAGTAGTAGATGACAAATGACCATCGACTATCCGCAAAGAAGAGGGCAAATTCATAACTTTAAACCTTCTAAATGAACTTCGTCTGGTGAACGTCCTAATCGCACTCAAAGGTCATCACAATACTACACTGATATCAATAAAATATTTGTGATCATACCATCAAATGGATTACGACAACTATCAAATACATAGAGAGAAGTAGATTGATATACAAATTCTGTGTCGTCTAACCTTAACCACAATAATCGGCTTTTAAGATTTGAATCTAGGAATTAGAAAAGAATAAAACGAAACGAATTATGATTGAACTCAGAACAATTCTGTAGAAATATTACTATTGCTATAAAAATGTGAAATTCAATACCAGTACTATAAAAATAAATTTTAGTTTGAAATTCTAAAATCGAAATCCTTGAAAGAAGTTGAAATCTAGTGGTCTTATAGACTGAAACACACAACAATACCCACACACCAAGATCCACCAATTTCGCATATAAGATACATGACAGAAAGCAAATTATAGACTTAGGATTCTCAAAACACAATAAAAACCTAGGTTTCTAGAAACAGAACGCTAAACCGTTAGTGATCGGATTATAATAAACCAGTAAGAAATTCGAGCAAAAATTTTAGCTAGAACAAGGAATTCAAGCAAATAACTAGAAGAAAAAAAAAAAGAAAAGGAACTGAGAACACAAAATACGATCATCCACAGATTTTCTGAATAGTTAAACACGGAATTCAATTGGACAAATAAATTGAATGCTGCTTAGAGAAGCAAGGGAGACAATCAAACGAGAGGTTTTGATGTAATAGCTGTCTACCACAAATTTCAAGTTTATAAAAACAATCCAATAACAGTACTATTACTGTTATACTTCTAATAATATTATCAGTACTACCGTCAAGGCCAGTCTCGCATACCTCAATTTCTTTATGTCCAATTCCTATATATTTCTTTTTGAAAACTTGCACTCATAAAATTAAAAATCTGTAGGTCGTTCTTCAAAAACGAGATATTGAATAGAGAAATGAAAGGAATAGTCGCGCTTATAAATATGCTGAATATTTTAAACAACCATGGTCAGATTAAACAATGTTTTCTATTTTACGATAAGACCCTATTATTCATGTTGGAACAAATATTTTTGAATATTCTTCATATTTCAATTTCTATTAGAACACTAAAAGTTTTCAACGATATTGAGTATATCTCATTTTAAATATTGAGAACTCCTCCAATATATAATGTGTATTGGTAGCTATTTTTAAATCGGTCCAAATAACGAGAAAAAAATCTCACTGAATGTAACAATAATATTCCTTATTATTAGAAGCTTTAGAATGCCAATATTTACAAAATTAACTCAAGAAGTCTTCTGGTTCAGCATTTCTGAGTACTAAATTTATTTCTAGAGATAGTAATTAATGAAGGATCGTAATATAAATCAAAGAAATTAATCAAAAAGATTAATCACTATCCTTAAAATTCTACATTTCATAAATTAGATTAAAAAATAGATCCTTTAGATAGAACACAAAATATTTTAACTACTTACGTTTTGATTGATGAGTTTTAGTAGCGAAATCCTGGAAAGCTACCACTTCACTCGATGGTATTGATTGCTGCGAATATTCTTCGCTACCCACATCTGGTGCCACTATGTCACTACTACAGTACATGAAGTATTAGGCAAAAAGTTGAGAACAGAAAAGATGTTTGTGACAAAAAATGAAAACCATATTTCTTGTTTAGTGAAGGCAGCATCTCTAAAATCAGCAGATGTGTGAGAATATAAAAATTCAAATAAACATAAAAAATTAATAATACAAACTAAAACCTTGCAAGTTTTTGAGCCAAATAACTTGGAACTCGACGTTGCGTATTTGAAGAACTGTGCCTTTGTAGCGGTTCGAAAATACGACGAGTTTGAAGGACGCTTTGTCTTGGCATAGTTTCAATACATGATATACTCCTGAGATAAAAAGATAACTTGCTTTTTATTTAGATATTTTAAAAAGATTTGAAATGAAAATTATCCATAATTGAATTTGGATTTTCAAACCTGTTTGTGCCATTAATGGTGGTAAAATATCGCCGTGGAGTAAATTGTTGCCCGGAAGTTCCACCTGTCTGTAGCAGCGGTGACCCGTTAACTTCTGAACTATTACTATCACTTTCACCACTTGTCGTATCTCGAGATATCCGACTTCGAGGCTGATATCTTTCAACCTAACAAAAAACAATGTTATGATTTGTTCTAGTGATTTGTTTGTTTTTATTCTTTGTCATCGGTTTATCTCTGTGTTTACCTCCACATCATATCAAAGATAAAGCTGTTTAGAAAGATATTAAATAAGGGAAAAATAACCAACTCGCTTCTGTACTGCTCCTTTACCCTTTTGATTACGTGTTGAAAGAGCTAACGGAAACAAATGCTCCGGTTCATTTTCTGTCTCAAGCAGAACATCACTTGCTTCACTAGCTTCAAACTTCGAAAGATCCGGGTTACTATAAAGAAGCTTTGGATAGAATAAATCTCGAACTTCAGCCTAATTATAACTTTTAATACTAATCTTTAAAAAAACCTATCTTCTGCTGTCAGTAATTAAATTCATTGGCTAAAACAATTTCTGGTGAATGGAAAAACGACTCAAGCCTTTTAAACTTCTCAGTGAATAAAAAATTGTCCCAAATAATGCGTACACTAAGAATATATAAAAAGACTTAAAACTCAGCAATTTAATAATCAGAGAAAGAAATAAATTTCCAAAAACCTCGCTTTCTTTAGATTCTCGATAGTTTTTGCCAAATTTCGTTCAGTTTTTGCACCCAAAGGTACTTCTGGTTGGCTCAAAAGATTGTTACCATTTAATGTATCGCTTCTTTCCGAAGTACTATATAAATTACCAACTGAACGAGCAATCAAACGATTTCGAATATTCAATCCCGGTGCACCACTAAAAATTACTCAAAAACTATGAACATTTCAAGAAAAAGTAAACCGGGGATCAATATATGCCAGCCATACTATAAATTAAAAGCAAGCTTAAATCTTATATCAAAAATGTTTCATGCTATGTGCGTTACACAAGTAAATTTTTTCTAAAAAATACTTAAAATATGACTACCAACAGTTGGATAGCTAAATTCTGGAATAAAAATTGTACTTCACTGCAAACGTCTTGTTGCAATTTCAAACAAAACTAGAAAATCTGGATTTTTCATTTAAATTCTTTCGTAACCAGACCCTAGCTCACTAACAGGTGCTATAAATTCTATCATTCTAAGAAGTGGCAGAAAATTAACTTTTCAAGTTACGTTCAATTAATTCAACAATACTTGACATTCTGGACTCGTAAGTGACAAAACCATGTTTCCACGAAACCGATTAACCCTCTCACAAACACCAGAAAAAAAATATATGAAAAATGTTATGAAGTATCCTCTTTTACTAAAATCTGTTTTGTATATTCTATATATTCCATTATTATATATTCTGTTATTAAACTATCGTTATGCTCCTTAAACGAATTTTATGCTGGAGTTATGGGAAAACAAATGGAATAAGATCACTAAATGAAATTAAATAAAAAAAGGAAGTTTGTCAATACGTGAACGATTCATTAATACGTAATTTGTGAACACTCTCAAAAAGTTTACTGAAAACAAACAAAAGAATAAAAAAGTCCTAATCTAATAACAACAACTTCACTTTATCACAAGAGATTCTTACACCTACGTTACAATGCGGTTGGTTCAAACATTTATTCTCATAAGCATTTGGGAAAGTAATTTAGAAATTACTTACGCAGGAGTGCTGTCAGCATTTAATCGTGATAGATATGATCTACCAGCATCGCTATTAGTATTAAGTAGTGGACCAAGCCCAGGTCGATTTCCACTAAGTGGTGCAGCGGCTGTTAGCCGAAGATTACCGAATGATTTTGAACGTGACATAATATTTGGATAAACTGCTGAGAAACTGTCATCATTCAGAGGTCCAGCCAAATTCTCCTGCGACTTGCGTAACCTAAACAATAATTAATATCACATCAAATAGCCCAAGCATTCCATTAATTAACAACAAAATAATTCGCTAAACCCACAATCACGATTAAAAATAGTACGTCTACGTAAAGAAAAGTAATGTACGAATACAATGCAGAGTTTGATCTCCACCCGGTACACCGATAAAATTAGAACTATGGATGATATGACATGAAATTTTAAATTGCTCGACCTGAATCACATGGATTACATACTTAATGTAAGTCGAACAGACTGCTAAAAAAATTAGATCTGTCAAACAAGAGGATTGCGAAATATGACATAATCGATGAATAAGTGTTCAAAAAGAACTTGCATAACTCTAAATAAATTATTCTAGGACAACTGAATGACATATTTCCAACATGACTGATAGTTCCAGTCATACGAACTATTTCAAAATACAGATACATTGCTAAATAGCTATAATCAATTAAACTCTGTGAAATGCAGAGACATGAGTGAAAAAATGATCGAATGTTCGGAGGGAGTGACATATTCTAGTTCAGCAAATATAAGATGGCAATTATCTAACATCACCAAACAAAAAACGTCATCATTGATTAATACAGACGAGACAAGAGTTGTAGCTGATGTATGCATACAACACTGAACTGCAAAAAATTTTATGCATACAACAATGAATTGCAAAAAACTAGTAGTTTCTACGTTAGGGCTTACATTTGGTAATGGAAATGTTTTCTTCAGAATTTTCAAACAAGTTTGAGAAGCAGTGAAAAACAAGACAGCAACAGAATTCAACGAGATGAATCAGAAAATCTGACAGAATCGTTTCAAGTAACTCAATCCATAGTTGCCCCTACAATCATAACTTCTGAATACTCTATATAAAAAGACCTGTCACGCAATCCTGCCAATCGATTTAGCGTCTGTGACGATTGTTGCTTATTAAGAGTGACAGCTCGTAGATTCGTCCGTGATGAAGATGGTGTCAAGCGAGTAGAAGCCATCGTTAAAACTGAATATGTTGACATATCAGAATCCTGGAAAGTTGCAAAACTTATGTAATCCTTAAGAAAAATTTGATCTGCATTATACAAACGTAATCAAAGCAAGTTGTTTACTTGTCGCTGCCGTTTCCCATTTCCTAGGACATTGAGAGCGAGCTGCGACGGGCTTTGACTTCGACTGCGTAAATGGAGGTCAGATGAGGCGTAATCATCTTCTGAAAAGGAATAAATAATACGTTTTACTTTCAATTTCAAATAAACATGTCAAATAGATCGAAAACTGTAAAACTCTGTACAATCATTTTTTTTTTAAAAAAAACTACTATAGTCATAAGTGCTTTCAACTCATTTTTGATGACTCTATCACCTCATAAAAAAAGAAATTTGAAAAAAAAAAATGTAAATTTCCAAGCCTAATTAGTTTACAAGAGTGTAGGTTTTAATTAGGCATGACAGAAATAAGCACTTAGCTTATGGATGCTTTCAAAAGTAAACAAAAGCTGCTGGCTAATCCTAAAATCGAGAACTCTGTAGATAAGAACGTAAGAGAATGGGAAAAAAAATAAAAAGAGCGATGTCTCGATTATTTTGTATTTTTTCTCTATTATTAGTTTTCCAACTACAGCTAATATCGACTCGGATAATATTAGCTAACAAATTTTTTTTTACAGTCATGAAACCTTCGCAAAAACAAAAATTTTCATTGAGACTTTTTAACTCATTTTAGCAAGCATATTTATGAATCATCTTTCCAGTGAAAAAGTTCCAAATAAACAGATAAGTATCGGAAATTACAGCAAAAAAAAGAAAAGAATTATTTGAAAGAATTTTTTTTTTTTAGAATTATTTGGAAGATTTCAACTTAGCGCAACAATGGAAGCGCACATTCCTTTATCTCAAAAGCAGAAATTGCCAGCCTACATTTGAAACGTAGATAAATTTAAGCCATAATTTACAACACTAACTCTCCACATCCACATTTACAAGGTAAACAATAGACCACAAATCAACATCATAATAGCATGCTAGCAAAATCCTAGCCGTGAATATCTCTAGCTATAGTATTTCTTGCTATAATGAATCGAAACCTCCTGTAATTGTCATTCGTCGATTTTTGATGACATCATTAATCACTTGGCAACGAGCTAGTGGACTTAAAGCTCGACCTATGACTGCGGTGTTTAAATTATTCTTTTCTTGTTGTTGATGCTGATATAAACGCGACAAAGTAATGTGCAAGTCGGATTCTGAAAGCAAAACACAAGCACAGTGCAGAGACAACAAAGTAGTATATTCAAAAGGAAGCAAAGGTATTGACTCAGAGAGAAATTTGGCATACAGGCGTAACTGCTCATGTAATACCACACATATTTATCTATGCAAATAACGATAGTTGAAGTTGGAGGAATTTTCTAAAAGCTGGCGTGAGGCTTATAAAATTGAAATCAGTGTGGAATCCAAAACTAGCAATAAATCAATAGCTCTGCATGCGAATTCTCAAAAGCTATCACCAGTAATAAAGCACAAAAGGAGGAAGACACAACACAACAGAAGGTGCTGGTGCTGAAGTGCTATAAGTACTTAAAATTAAAAGCAACAACTGCAAGTTTTCATAAAATATAGTGTTTAAAGATAGACAATGATTCAATTATTCAAATTATATTTTAACAACTGGAAAACTAAATATGAAGTACTGTTCTTTCAAGAAAAAAATTATTTTTTGAAAATATAAGGACTACTAAAAAATTCTTTGATACATAAACAGTTGATGCAATCTCATTTGAAATATTCTTTTTAAATAAGGATATTAAACTGCAGGGAAGTAATCTTGAACTAACTTCGTCGTGTTACTGGGATTGTTCGTCCTGATACTGTAGTATAATGCATATTGCTTGCCGATCGCCTGGTACCAATCAAAGGCGGAGTCCATACTGTCTGTGACTATAAATATATATAATCCTCTGGGAAATTTCCCTTACAAATTATAATCAAATATTACTTGCTGATTATAAAGAATGAACTTCCAATGATGGTACAGGAAGAGAATTCCAATTATAAGTAATGAATAAAAGAACAAACCTCATTACTTCTGATTCCTTTTAGACGTTTTGTTAAACTGCAACGTTTCACGCTAGACCGACTAAACGCCGAACTAGGAGACTGAGAGAACACTGAGGGCGAAACTTTAACTGGTGTGATGCATGATTCAGAAGATTCTTCGGTATTGCGCACTGTGTTATTGAGTGGAGAAGAGACATGTTGCTGCAACTCAACAATTCCCGGTTCTGATATGGAATTCGGTATTTCTGCAAGAATAAGGCATTTAATTATGCAGAAATTTTCTTCATCGAAATTCATCTACAATTTTTTTTTCATGTATTTTTTTCATTCATTATATACGAAATTCATGGGTAAACAAATCTAGGACAGTATTTCATCTAAAAGCTCTGCCGAAAATAACGTCATAGTTCTTTTCCGACCTATTATACTGAATAGGAATTTTACCTATCCTATAACAAATCGAGACATTAGTTGAAAAAAAAAGAGCTGCAAACAAAAATCTACTGAAAATTTGTTAACAGCAACAAACTCTTGTGGATATTTCGTTCGGGTGAACTCGGTGAATATTGCATTTGATTACCATTCATAGTCATAGAATTATTTAACATATTTTCCTTGGAGGATGATGGCAGGATGGATGACGGGGAGATGTGCATTTCAGAGGATGGCACATCGAATGAATTTGATATTAATGATGAAACATAAGTTGGTGTATCTAAATAATTAAATAAGTTAATTCATGCCACAAAGAAGGTAACAAGAGTGACCACAATGTAATGCTTAGACTGCAATCTTTAAAGAGGATTTCCGCATAAACCGTATGTCCGAACAGACTAATAATAAGGAAAGAAAGGTTGATAACAAAAGGAAGAATCAGAAAAAAAGAAAGAGAAGTTAATAATAAAAAGAAAGAACCGAAAAAAAAGAAAAGTCTGAAATGATAAATGGTCACATTTTGGCACTTAACATCGATTATTTTAAAGTTGAATGGCAATTCTGTCGGCGATTTCACACCAAGCTTGTAAAGAGTAAACGTACCCCTAGTGGGGCTAAGTGACACATCATCCCATTTTTTCCGTGGTTTTCGTGTTAAAGCATCGCTTCCCGCTGCAATAGCTGATGATCCATGACTGCCTATGCTTCTCCCTTTAACACCATCAGCACCATTTCCGGTACCATTAGAGTGCACCGCTGCGGCAGTTGTCCCTGGTATTTGAGAAAATCGTAAATTAAAAGGTGTACTGCTTATAGTGCATGTATCCTCTCCTCCTCCAACGGTCGTGTTACCGCCTAATTGCTGCTGGACAAAGTTCATTGTCCCTAAAGATCTACCTGCGCCTGCAGCTGTTGATGTTGGCGTTTGCTCATCATCGGAGAAATCTGCAAGAATGAATGAGTCGGTGACATGAAAGACAGGTCAGAAAATCGTACAAATCTGAAAAAATGATCCAAATCAGCAACAGTATGTGTATGAACCACCAAATTTCAGCACAGAGTGGGCAAGAAAAAAGAATAACAGATTGGGAAGAGATAAACAAATGAAATGGAGAAATGTAAAATAAAAGATCAAGGAAAAAAGAAAGTAGAAGAAAAAGAATCACTGAGAAAAGCTGAATACCACTACTTTACATCCATTTTCAATGTCATAAAATTAATGCTTTCAAGGCAAATTTTTTCATTTTAATCAACAATTAACCAAAAAGCTAGAATCATTTATTATTAGTAAAGAAAAAGAACTAGAACAACTCACTAGTTATGTAACTGAATAATCAAACAGTCTTTAAATCCAATATTAAAGTTTCGATCCTTTTCAGCTTATGATACTAAGTTTATGTTTAATGATGAAGTAAAATTATTAAGCACAAATCTTACGAGCAAATGGTATTTACTTATAAGATTTCAAATCATCAAACCACTCCAAAAGAAATTAAGCTGAATCATGAGAGCAATTTTTCCCGTCTAATAATGAGCAGAGTAACAATGTTACAGTTTTCTCCTTTAATGGACGGAGTTTGAAATAACATTATTTATTAAACTCCAAAATAAAATTATCGTGAATTATAAAACCAAACAGATATTTGATTAAAACTGAAGAAGTGAGAATAGTTACAAAGATGGAGAAAGTAACTTGAAACGTCTTTAACGCCAGCAATACAAATTCAGGAGTAGCGAAGATTAATTACCGAAAACTCCTCATACATAATCTCCTCTCTAAAATTTGAAGCCATTTATTAATTTAGTGACAGATTAAAGTCACCGTGCCAAAACAATTAGAACCAAATAATTACCATTAGCTGCTGAAGCAGTATCCCAGCTGGTAAGTTGATCATTCATCATCCCACTTGTACTACGTCTCACAACTTCTGTTGTCACTCGCTTCAGTTCGAAATTGTCACTGTAATTGCCAACTGTAGAAATTCAAAACTAAAAATTTGACTGTTAGAAGCATAAAGTGAAAATATTTAAACTCTACATGTTACAATCTACCTCAGGGCTGCAATTTCAATTATAATATAACTTACGACCAAAAACTTTATTTTAAAGAAAAAAGATTTTTGTTGTGAAAATTGTCAAGTAAACACAAACATTATATTGAAAATCAAAACACAGAAAAAATTAAATGCAAGATAAAGACAAAATCAGATAATGAAAAGATAGAATTTTTTTCTTGTAAGGAAATGGGGACATTGCAATACTAATTCTGTAGCTAGATTAAGAAAGGTTCAATGACCTGCAATTTTATAGATGAAAATTAAAAATATAAAGAAGTGCTCATACATCAAAAATTAGTTAAGTATATCAAGAGGTTCAGTCATATCTCAATAACAGATTCAAACTATTAAATAGAGAATAATTTTAAAAAGTTATTGTAAAAAAAAAAAAAAAAAAAAAAGGCAGGATGGTAAGTAAGGTATTACTAGGAGCAGAAACTGCACTAGAAAACAGATTTAAAGTTAAAAGACTATAATGGTTTTAGAAGGAACCAAAAACTGAAGCAGTATAATAATGTGCATATTCATCATTTATAGCACCTATATCTAATAAATGGTGAGACATAACCGATGTCAGAATACGCAAATGGTGCGACAAACTTCAGTACTTTTGTTTACCCTCTTTATATCTCAACTATTCCTTAAACTAAGTGTACATTGTGTGAAGATGTGTCACGCATGCCTATGTATTCCCTCTAAATTGCCATATTTTAACTTGCCACTGTAGAATGGACGGAGTACATTTACTAGAGAATGAAGGTCAAGGATAGTGTCATGAAAAGATCTAAGACAAATGGCTAACACATTATCATTATTCATTATTTCAACCTCGCTTTCCTTTCAAATCAAAGCAGGAAATTATAGCACATAAAGTTGAAACGGAGAAAAAAGCATACTCTGTAATCACACTACTGAATGGAGTATTAATAATCACTGTTGTTGGCTTCCGTCCCATACAACTATCCGAATCTTCATCACCAATTTTAATGCTGCTTAGAGAACCAAATTCGGATTCTGAATCTTTCAGCTACAAAAATATCAATTTGTCGATTGTGAAGCAACTTATTAACTTCTTTAAGTCGCGGAATTCTCTTGCTATACAAAGAATAAACTGGGGGTAAACATAATGCATTTTTTGAGATAAAATCTGCATAAACGTTTCCATTCTAAACATTAACATTTGCTGAGGTAAACGTAACTAAGATGAAATGCATTTTTTTTGAGATAAGATCTGCATAAACATTTCCAATCTAAACACTAAGACTTGCTGATATCTTCACCATATTACAATGCAAAACAAAATTTAATAATCACTTTAAAAGCAATACAATGTTGTTAACTTGAAAATATTAAAATCAATTTTAAAAAATCAAAATAAAGTAGAACCTCCAGTGGAGTCAAGCTTCTTGTAAAAAATGCAATATATCTCTTATCAAAGCTCTGTGATAGTTCGATGAGGTTAAAAACAATTCTCAAGAACAACTCATGCTTTCAGCTGCTTAATCATTTTTTTTTGTAAACATATTTGCTGCTTAGTACTACTAGTTAAACCTATAAAAAGAACAATAACAAAATTTAACCTTCGCATTTCGTGTATACTCCATGTGTTCATCACCAGCTGCATCACTGCCACTCCCCAACAAACTATCTGGTGTTTCCGACCTAATAATTATGTAATTTTAATCGAATTTGAAAGTTCATTTCCACACTACAGAGAAGCATGAATAAAACCTCCGTATAAGCCTTACGAGTTTCTGGAGTACTGAAGAAATAGATAAGCCAGCGGGAACAGCTGCTTACCGTTCACAAAGTTTTTCAACTCCTGTGGTGCAAGTATTCCTGGTGATTTGGGATTTTCGTATAGCCATCATTTTGCTGACAAGGAAATTGGACAGTCGCCACACGAAAATGCAACCGCTATAGGAAACAACATATAATCGTCTGCAATACTTCAAACAAATTAAAACTGACTGCTGAAAATCTATGCATCTCCGAAAACAAAATGTATTGGAAATCATATTTATAATACTAATAAGATAGATTTTTAAATTGAAGTTATTTTTTTCTATTTTTATTTAGCTCTCTAGGCTCAAAAAATACCCTGAAATTTACCCATGAAAAATGAAATATGATATAGTCTTCTTTAGATGGATAGGTATATCTCTAATAAATTGAGACTTCATCTAATCTTAAAATTAACCTGCAATCAGCGGAAAAAGCAATATCTGTAATGTTATCTGATTGGCCAGTCAATATAGCAGCAAATTCTCCCGTGGCTATATCAATGATATAAACATTTCGATTTGTACATACTGCCGCAGCATAAGTTCCTGATGGATCCAGTCGTACCTGTATAAGAAAGTTTCCATCTCCAATTATAAACAGCCTTAACTCTTTATAATTGAAGATAACAGCTGCACTATAAACTTTCAGACTCTACATATAAATGAGATCAACAGAAACAAATTTGTCAATAAGATAAAAACCTTAGTGAGTTGTCCATCATCACTTGCAGCGCCTTTAATCTGCTTTACAAGCCTTCCCTGAAACGAATATGTCCGAAGCTGACGATCCTGGCAAGCGGCAACCATTCCATCAGCACTCAACACGACAAAGTTCAAGCCAAATTGCGATTTTATATGAGTTGTACGTGAAAAAGTCACCAAAGATGGCTGCAAGGAATTTTTATAGAAAATTAGTTAGATAAAATCAGATAAAATTCAAATATATAATCCAGATGTTCTCAACGGAAGAAACGGTTCGGAACAGCTGTGTTATTAACAGATTTCGCTTATACATTACCACTGAGTAAATAACAACTTGCACCCTATTGTTTAATTAACTATTCTGATCAAAATTCACAGCCTTCCCATTCTAAATGGTCTCATATAGTCTAAACTGTCTCAATTTACTAAATAATCGACTTTAAATATATAGTAAAGGTACTCGATCATTAAAAAAAAAAAAAAATAAATAAATAAATAAAATCATTGCGAAATTACTTCTGAATTGACCATCTTTCTAATCACAATTGAACGATCAGCAGCAGAACTTATCAACTGCAAATTACCAACTTCCTGCAACACAGCTATTTAATTTTTTTGCAGATTAGTAAGAAATCTTTAAAATGAAAATAAATTAAAAATTTATTAAATTAAAAATTCAAACAGCACTGATCATAAACCTCTACGAATAGTATCGAATTGACAGTGCTTGTATGATCGTCAATACTTGCTAATGGTTGATATCCATTAAGTGGATCAAACAAGTGCACCATGCGATCGCGACTTCCAGTAGCTAACAGATAACGAGCTAAAATAGTAAAACTCTAAAAACTTAATGATAAATACGGAAATAAGGTAAGGAGGACATATGAAAGGTAATAAGGAAGCTATCTATCAAAATCAGTAAGTTCATTAATCATTCATTTCTTATAAGTATACCATTGTATGTCCCATATGAATTAAATAATAAAACTTGTTATTTCACAAATTAATGGTTCCCCAATTTTTTTAATGTCGTCTTTCATTTATTGATATTATTAACTAACAAAGGAAAGTAAAGCTCTACCTTACTAACAGTAAGATAGAAAATCCATAAACTTCGATGAATTATTACAGTAAAAACTCACCACTTTGTGGGTCAGAATACTCCATACACATAATATCACTTTCGTGAGCTTCAAAAAATGCAATCATTTCCATAGTTGGTACAGTTAAATCATAAATACTAAAACAATTTGGTTGAAAAATCAAATTCGAAAAAAAAGATCGAAAAATTTTTTCGAAATATTTTGCAGTAATGGCATCAACAATTTCCTTCAAAACTTTTCATGTTAAAAAAAAAAAAAAAAAAAAAAAAAAAAAAAGATTTACGATAAATTTCCATCTCGACTGCCTGCAGCCAGATGTTTTCCATCAGGACTTATTTTCAAAGATTTTACACCACTGCCTGTATCAGACATGGATGCTCCAAATACTTCTAGAAATAGAATGAAAAGTCGATATAAAGTGAGTTAATTGGAAATTTTTGATATCTCCTATTCACCTTTATTACTTTTTGACTAATTTCCACAAAAACAGTTAATGAGTGATGCCGATGATCTGAGCTGTTTATAGAATAAGTCGATCCATTTTACTTAAGATAAAACATGAAACATGCCATCTGGAGATTCGTTAAGTTGAGAATCATTATTGGTAATAAAAATAACTTTTTTCAAGTCATCCGAGAATACATTCGCATATGGCAAAGAAGTCCGCTTGTTCTGAAAAAATAGAATATAATTTATTAATAAATGAAACCTAAGATTTTTAGAGTCCTGAATGAAATTTACCATGAATCAGGCAAAAAACAAACCTCATCAAATGATCTTAATAGATGATCCACATTCCATATGCGAATAGTTTGATCTGCACCACCCGTTATGATTGAACTTTGTGGTAACCATTCGAAATTTGACGGATAAACCTGCAAAACTCATTATTTTCTTAAATAATTAAAAAAAAAAAAAAAAAAAAAAGCGAACCAAACACTATTTATGGCTTACCTCTAGTGAAATCACTGGCCCAACATGAAAAAGCTGTGAAGAAATTTTGAGAATATTCTTATCCGTTTGTTGCCATGTATAAATGGATCGATCGCTATAAACCACAGTAAGCATTCCAGTCTTCCTGTTGTATGCTAATGCTCGCACATCTGGATACCTGAAAAGCATATGCTAAAATTGAAAACTTGTACTTGAGTCATACAAGATTATTCTCAACCACTATTTCTAATAAGACTTATTTTTATGCTCCCATGAAAATAATTTCCACCCTTAATTTTTCCTTTCATATTCTCTCCTCAGTAAAACCTAAAAATCTTAAGACGATTATCAAGCTTTAAATTCTCATAAATTTAAGGAAAAAAATTGCCGACCTACACCCTATCGGATGTGAATCAGGCGACAGTGCATCTTGTTTTACTCCTTCCGCAACATCACATGATAAATAATGTGGTTTACAGAATGTAAATTTATGCTTCATTGTTGTAATATCCAAACATCTTATAAAACCATTGTTGAATCCAATAAAAAGTTCACCAATTCCAAGCACTATCGACCGTGGAACTTCACTGTGTAGGTCATAGGTGCTCACTAACTGAAATAAGTTCACCTCTCAAAATAATTTAATAAAAACACATGAAATTAAAAATTAGTATAAGTTTTAGGTAAAGCCATAACAATAACAGCTGTGTACTGAATGAGTGAAAGTGATAAGAATTCAATATTATATCATTTCACTCGACTGCTGAACATAAAGATGGGACTCCTCCATCATCCAATTCCATCTCCAAAGCAGGTAAGCATAAATTTTAGGACCTTAGTGAAGTACTGATTTAATACAATAATTTATGATATTATGGATAAATTGAAAAAAAAAAATGCGTGTAAATATAAAAAAGGTAAAAAATAATAGCAATAAAATCGGTATGGCTGAAGCAAACTTGAAAAGGAACTTGAATATTCCACCATTCAATTGTTACCTTTTTGTCATGAAATTCAATCAAAAGACTAGTTTCTGTAACTGAAAATGTTCGATTGCCGGGAGCACAACACACATCCAAAAAAGTATTGTTTCGTTGATCGGCCAAAATTGCTGAACGACCCTGAAAATAACCTAGATATAGACTCAAATCAACTTCTAAATGTAATTCTAAAATAAGAATATAACTGAAAGCAAAGTGAAGTGCAAAAGATAACCACAACAAAGTTCAAACTCAAGAATTCGATTTTTATCGTCATAACAGAATAAAAAATCAAAATCCTATTTGTTATTTTCATACCTGTAAAGGTATACTCTTGGAACTCTCTGGTTTCCTTGTAACATGCCAGAATTTGACATGCCTGATCCCCACCGTTACACATCCGCCTTGTTCTGTTACATCAATTGAATTAACCTGAAAAAACTACTTTTAATACTTTGCACGGTTCACTTTAACGCGAACTTTGTCAAATTCGTAGTAAATAGTAATTTATTACAATCAGTTGTAACCAAATAGATAATCCTGTCATGTCAAAACAAACTAAATTCTATGGATGAATATCAACATAGTAAGGAGTTCCGTAAGTGAAAAATGACTTCAGAAAAATATTTACTTTCGAAGTAAGACGATTTTCAGCAATTTTTTGCTGTGCTCGCCAATCCCAAACTACGATCGAGCGATCATGCTGATTCCCTACTGATACCAAGTGACCATTAGGCGTAAAGCGCTAAAAGTTAATCAATTACAAATACATATCCAAATTTTGAGTCCAACCCTAAAATGCACTTTTAGATTATGAAATTAGCAAATCAAGAGAATTTGTAGTATGAATTGCCACTGAAAACTTACCACACAGCTGATTCCTAACTGATGATGCTTTATATCAACAATTTGGGTAAAAGCAAACTGTCCTTTCGCGTCGTATAACTCCCAAACTCGCAGTCGAGGTTCATGTCCAGCCGGAAAAATAATTTATGGATTATTGCTGCACTACTGCTTCAATTTAAATATCATCACCCCGTTTTTCCCAACTTCAAAATTTCATTTCTCTACAAATTAATTCATCTAAGAATACCTCTCCGGTAGCGATGTATCGTCCGCAGAAAGAGAACGATAAGCATGTTATGCTGTTTTTCGTTGTACCAATTAAATGGGCTTGGGCATTATTTCTTGGATTATAAAGAATGACAGTAGCCCTGGAATAACATACAAAATCACATATCTATGAAAGTTCTTTAGGTATTTTAGCTCCATTATGTGCATGGAGACTTTATTTTAAAAATTAAAATAATACCTAATATACTACAAAATTTCACATGTAACTCAAAGTAAAACTAGCAGAAAGAAAAACTAAAGAATGTAAAAAACCAACCAAAATTTCGGAAAACATATTCAATTCAAAAAAAAAAAGAAATTTTCTTTAATTTCTTTTAATTTTGTTTTAACCATAAAAAACTTTAGTAAAAAATCTTTGTGCTAAATTCTTATGTTAATAATAAACAAGCTGAATAAATAGAAAGCACCATAGAAATATAAAATCAGCAAAGAAACAAAAAGGACATATTACGATGCTAAGAAGTTAATGACATTGAACAAGCGATATTTAATGTGCTATAATTAAAATTCATACAACTTTTTTTGCTAATGAAAAGTCCACAAAGATATACCCAGCCGGATAGGCTACAATGCCTTTGATGTCGTCCACTGATACTGACGATCGTGAAACAGCTGTGCAACCTAATACCCGTTCTAATTTCGCCTGAAAAAAAAATGACAAAATGCATGTAAATATTTCACATTGTATAAAAAAAAAAAATTACTTTACTCCATTATTATAACTGCACTTATATTGCTAAAACTATTGCAATTGTCATTTTTATCACTGCATTATTAGCAGATTATATATCTTATTCATTGCTTTCTAGCAAATCAATAAATGAATAGTAATATATGGAAAGAAATAAGTGAATAGTAAAAAAAAAAAAAAAAACGAACTGAAAATCAAATTTCGTAAAATTTACAGATAACATATACCTTACCCGAATGATAAATATAAATTTAAATAAAATACTTTACCATATGCATGTGCGGTGCGGATGCGAAAGAGATACACATACAAAACAGAAATAGTTTGCCGCTTCAAAAGATAATAGTCATAGAAATAAGTACGAAGAAATGATCGCAAAAATCAAAGAAAATGAATATGGTCGTTTATCGTTCAAACATTGATATGAAGACCGAAAACTAGGAAAGTTACATAACAATGGAATTATAGATGAAAATTCCCTCGAAAACTGTAAAAATATATAAAATGCATAAATACGTCAGTATATCATCAAACATATATCAAGTACGTCAGATAGGAAAAGCCAAATCGAAGTTGAATATGCAATATTTTTTAAAAATATAATATCAAGACGATGTGATTTCCCTACTATTAATATGTCACCTTGAAATCTCCAAAAAGAAATTTAATTCTTTCTCAGAATATGATTACTAATTCATAATTCATAAGCATCCATATTTCCAGGGAAAGTATTAGAAAATGTAATGATTAAATACATTAACCTTATTTTTCTGATCATAAGTGAAGCAATAAAATTGAAATGTACTACACATTAAAGTAGGAAATAAAGTGAGGAAGAACTATCTTGGGTAACAAAGAAAAAGCAAATTACCCGCATCAGATGAATTATGCCCGAGAGAATATTTATGAAGTAAAATGTTAAAAATCCGTTAAAAATGTATCAATTTGCTGGATGAAAATCGTTCATCCCAGCTATTTAGTACTAATTTGTCCAAAATAGCAGGCGCAAATTGAGTGTTAAAGTTGCGCATTTTTAATGGTAACAAATTCGGCTTATCATTAGAAAAGATAAACTGATATGACGATGATATGACTCTAACGATCAATTTGACATGTTGAGGTATTGCGAGAAGATGAAGGTGACAAATTATCTGGTAAGTCATCAATAATAAATAAAGTGTTAAATGTGAGTGATATTAGTAATGGAAATTTTCCTAATCCTTTCAATTTCATCTTTTCTATTTTTGCTAAGCTCAATAATATTTTAGAATATAAAATTGTCAGTTAATCCATATAGAAAAATAAGTTTAAAAAAAAAAAAAAAAAATTAATACTTCGAAATTACCATTTTTCATTAATCGATGAGCTAAATTATTTCTTCTTAATTTCTAAAATAAATATAACACATATGCAGAAGCATTAAAGTGTTATTATCCGCCATGTAATTATTTAATGTTTGTAAGATTAATGATAGGCGAAGAAAAAGGAAAAGCAAGCATACATGAAAGAGATAGACGACATTCAAATTTGTAATGAAAATATAAAATTTTAACTCATTAATTACCTCGGACAAAAGTTTTAATTATTTTCTATTTTCATAACCTCTCATTCAATATTTGTTCATTTCATAAATATTTTAAAACGACAGTTAACAGATAGCTTTAATTGCTGAATGATTATTCCCGCTTCTGTGAAATTATGAATCGCTTCTTTAATCTCTCAAAATAAGACTACTTGAGAGTTAATTTGAGAATCTTTCTCACAAATCTTTTATTAAATGTTCCCTACCAGTAATGCATTATATAAATGGCTTATCAATCTGCTGATTAATTGATTGGAAATTAGTTAGACTGATAGCAGCTGATTCAAGATAAGTAATTGAAATCAGCTGCTGATATGTTATCAGCGTAACCATTCTGTTGCAGTAAAGTCGATGAACGCTGTGATAAAATAGAAATCAGTGACATCTCAACTGACAATATCAATCAGAAGACATTTACTGTGATAATCTAATTGAAATTGGCAGTGGAACAAGTTCTTACGATTGATCTAATAGCAAAAAGGAAGGAAAAGAATAGTACAATAATTTTTCCAGTTTTTTTTTTTTTTTGAAATTATTGAAAAAAAAAGGCTGAGATAGAAGATAAAATGTAAACTTCAAATGAATTTTAAGTTGGAAATTTTTATTATCAAAATTTCAGGTTTTCAAAAAAAATTTCAAAACCTCACTTTAAAAAATTCAGGTTTCCCTGAATAGGATACAGGAAGTAATCCGGCTAACATCTCTAACCGGACTAGACCTATGCGTTATTATTCCTAATAACGAAACAAAAGAAAAGCAGGGATTTTGCTTGAAGAGTTGTGAAGTTCTTGAAATGTAGAAATTTTAAAAAGTTTAAGTCAGTTTCACTCACTTATGTTAATTTTCATCCCAGTAACCTGAACAATTACACCGATAAAACCAGTTGTCCAATTGAAAGGTCATCAAACATTGAATCAAACTTCAATTAAATTTCATGAGTTCTTCATCAAGCTAAATTTCAGACACTAAATGACATTTGAATAATAAGGAGTCTTCAATTCTTCATCGTTTTTAAACTATCGAATGAAACGAAAACAAAGAGACGAAAAAAACGGAATATTATTTTAAGTTCCGTTCATTATTTCTTTTTGGATTATATACTTATGTATTAATAATAATTTTAATTGGTTCTACTTCAAATGTTCTAGAAAAGAAAAAGTTTGACATTCCTAATAAATATTCTGGAAATGCCATGCGATACAAAAATTGGAGGTCGTAGTACAAAATGGAAAAAGAAAAATTCGTGCCAACAAAAATTTAGTGGAAACAGGTTTTTGGTGCACTTCTAAGAGTATCATTGTGGTGAATGGGCAATTTTATTGGAAATAATTGTGAAAGGAATAAAAATTCCGGAAACTATTTTCATCTTCAATTTTGGAATTAAAAACAAGAAAAAATTAAAAACAAGATGAAAGATGAAAAATTAGATGTAAGATATCCAGAAGTTTTCTTGTTAAGTTATTGCTAAAAATGTAATAATTAGAAATAAGCATGGATGAGTTACGATTTGGTGTGACAAAATTTAATATTCGATTTTAATTTTTTTCAATTGAAGGTATAAAAAATTAAAATATTCCATCTGAAATTAATTAGGACTACCTTTATCGTATAATCCATTTATTTAGGAAGAGAATAGCATTGTGAACAAGAGATCTTCCAGAAGAAGTTCTTTCCGTTGAAAATTTCCGGTCTCTGTTTTCATCGATGGAATCAGCGCATTGATTCCTTCGAAATCGTTGGAAAGTGTGCAACGATCATTAAAATTGTATCAACAAATGGAACAATTGATGAATGAAATTACAAACGTATGCTAAGAGCATTACATCGAATTATACCAAAATGTAAAACCCATTTTAAAAGTTGGCATCCATTTAAAGGCAATGCTGAATTATTCCAATTTTAAAGAGATAATGTAAAATGATGTGACTATATGTTATCATTTGTGTTGTGAAGTAATGAAATTATACGTGAATGTCACGTTACTTTCCGCTGAAATCACCAACTTTAAACTTTAGTTCATTATGTTAGACCTACTATATACGAAATAAATTTTTTGAAATAAAAGAAATGACTATTTAAAAATGAAATCAATTGAGAGAATTCAATAACAAAGAGATTTTATTTTCGGTAAGAATTGTTAGAGAGAAATTTTTTGAAAGTACAAAAAATTATAAAATTGCCTCTTCAAAACAAGAAAACGAAGAATTCAACTTATTCGGCCAATAACATTCAATTGCATATATATTTTTTCTCCTTAAACAAAAAGAAAAATAATTTAATTTCTTAATTGATATATATATATTTTGAAAGATTAATGATGCAGCAGCAAATCAATTAGCAAATACAATCTGTAAAATTTTCTCCTAAACAACATAGTATTCATTATGATATGATATATATATTTTTTTTATTAAATATTTAAAAAAAAAACTTCCAAAGTTTGCTTGATATATTTTTCAGATAATCTTGAATTTATGAAATTATATGCAAACAAATGATTCTTAATTAATTATCTGCTAAGGCATTAATAATTCTGAAATGAATGATATTCGCAGGAATCTTTCCATCGTACAAAACGATAATTCAAGAATTAAAATCGTTTCAAAAAAAGGAATTATCGTGAAAGAATACAAAAAAAGAAAGGAAAAAGAATGCTATGATTTATTTTAAACAATAATATATTGAAAAAGTGATTTGAATTTTCACAAAATCGTGTCATAACTTTGCATTGAAAATCAATTTTAGGCGCAATATAAACACAAAAAAAAAAAACTTTTATTTTCCTTCCAGTTTTTGATTATCCCTCTCTCTCCCTCCCTCTCTCCCTCCCTCTCCCTCCCTCTCTCCCTCTCTCTCCCTCCCTCTCTTTTCTCTTATTTATTGCTGTCATTCTGAGTTCTCTAAGCCTTAAAAAAGCAAAATGATCTCATTGAATACAATGCATGCGACACAATTGAAGAATCTATCCTGCAAGAATAAAATTTCAAATCTTACAAATTTTTAGTTTTATTCACAAAAATTTCTTTCAATTTTTTTTATTACATCGTTTACTGAGAGATAATATTGATTAAACAGATCATCGTTCATGTTCATTTAAAATTTGTGTAAGACTTTACTCAGAGATGTTTGGTTAATTAAAATCTAAAGGTTAATTAATTCTACCTTTGAAGATATTCGAGAAAATAAAAATTCCTTTTGATGCGATTCTAAAAAAGAAATTAAATGCTTTTTTGACTATTGAACCAGGAAGGATTAATTTTTGTACAAAAATTACTTTCCATTAAACGAGTAGAGGAATTCAAAGAAAAAGGAAAACATTGACAAATAGAATAAATAATTTTTTTTTGATGTACCAAAAATGACTAAAGAATTTCATTCATTTCCCTTTCGGCATCACAAAATTACTCACATCGGTAGTTTCCATGTGGATAAAAAGATTTAATTGCGCCTTTTTGAAGCAAAAGAATGGAAAGAAAGAGGTAAAAAGAAGTACCGACCACTAATTACCAGCTATCACTTTTTCTCTGAGAGAGATTGCACACTCTTAAAGGTTAATAAAATGTTAAATTTTCGAATGAAATATTAATTTAGTGAAAATATTGAATAAATTCCAGTCATTTGCACTTAACGAGTAAAGGAAACAAACTGCAAAATGTCATAGCAATTTTTCCGCAGTAATTAAATTTATTTGTAATTTACTATTTAAAACAGTAATTGCTCTTTTTA